AATATATATCTATGTATGTATGTAAGTCTGACAAACACAACTGAGCAGGGAGAGGGTAGCGGAAACACCACCGTCACCAATCACAATTGAATCCTTCACTTTGAATCCCAAACTGCAAAAAAAAACAGAACACAGTTATCAGAATTCAACTTCCACTGACCTGCTCACGCAGCCTTCAGCAGCTGCAGGCAATGCTGGAAGCGGGGGGGCGGGGACGCCGCCATACCAGCAAAGCCACAATACTAGAGCAGGGACAACGACATACATGCAATCGTGCAACACGCTGGCCACAGCCCCTGGGAGGACGAGCGTCAGCCCGTTACTCCCACCACAGAGGCACGAGGCTGCCCAGGGCCAGCAACACATGAAACGAACAGCAAACACTTACGTACACCTCGACGCGCGATCGTGAGAAGAATGAAGGAACAGATCACCTGCTGACACCGGAAGATATAGCCTCCCGGAGTTCACGCAGGGGTCACGGGTGACATTGTTGATATTCGTACTCGACATGCGCTAGCGCGGGCGGAGTTATCCTGTGCTTATGCACCGCCTCTGGCAGTCAGTAGGGACGAAATAGAATGTCAAATTTTCATTTTGAAGGCAAATATAAAAAGGCCATAAGAGGACAAAGACAACTTTTCTTTTCTTGGTTAGAATAACAGAAAGACTGCTGTAAACATTAACAACGATGACTATGTGTGACCGGAGTGATTGAGACGAGTGACGGGAAAACAGCACTTTGAGTGAGTGATAAGAGGCGGGGTTATGGAGACACTGCAGCGGTGTGTGTACGTGTGTTAACTCGCTGTCGGGGAGAAGAGGTCAGACAGCTCTGTCAGCTCTGTTCACACATTTCAATATAAACTCTTCCCATGCCGATAAAGCGCCCTTTAAAGGTCCAGTGTGTAGGATTTAGAGGGATATATTGACAGAAATGGAACATAACATAACAAGGATGTTTTCTTTAGCATAAAATTGCCTGAAAATAAGAATCGTTGTGTTTTTGTTACCTTAGAATGAGCTGTTTATATCTATGCAGGAAGCGGGTCCTTGTCCATGGAGAATGGCATGCTTTACCGCCATGTTTCTACAACAGCCGAATGGACAAATGAAAAGTAGCTCTAGATAGGGCCATTTTTGTTTTTGCTTTGGCCACCATAGTTAGCAGCCTTTCTGCGATGAGCAGCGTCAGGAAAACAAGTTTTTTCCCAACATGAAACTGCTTTATTCTCTGTTTTTACCAGTTTCAATCACGTGGTCTGTTTGTTTTGGAGAGAAAGACACCTCTGCTGATAATTCGGCTCCCGGTAAAAACCTCCTAACAATGAACACCGAAGAGATTCTAACCGGGAGAAATTCTAGCTATCTGCAAATCCTCATCGTCAGGCACCACTAAATCCCCCAAAATGTTACAAACTAGAGCTTGGAACTTTCAAATATTCAGATTCAATACGTATCGATAAATCCATATTTTTGACTACTAGAAATGTATTTGGGGCTTGTTGTTGCCTCTTACAAGTGTTGGCTTTTGCTCTGAGGCACAATGCCTACATGAATCATGCAAAGTTTACAGTCAATTACGCAGCACAAAACAGCAGCAGCATCTCTATGATCAGCTGGCTCAGGGTCAGTAGTGTAGTAAGCCATTCACCTTGATAACATTTCTGGTCAGCCGGCCCAGGTAGACCTTCGTGGGTTTGGGCGTGGGGCTTCGACGTCGCCGGTCCCTTTCATCCTTCTTTGCTGACTTTGACCTAGAGTAATGTTTCAGTTACAACTGTTATCATTAATCTGTCATCCAGAACTTAATGTTTTAATTTGTTGTCCACCAACATTACTGGTGTTCCCTGACTGCATGGTGCAAGACTCAGACATTCCTCAGTTATTCATTACTTACACTACATGCTTAATTTTTCAAAAGAATTTCATACTTGGAGCGTGATCGTCGTCTGTTGTTGTGGCGCTGGCGGCTGGGGCTCGGTGAGGACGAGGAGGAGGAGGAAGAGGAGCGGGAGCTGGATGAGCCTGAGTGGCTGGAGGCAGAGGAGCTGGAGCCACTGGAGGAGCCTGAGCTGGAGCCTGAGCTGCTGCTGGAGCTGGAGCTGGACATGAACAAGAGCGGGTTTTAGGATGGCAGCAAGTGGTGTGACCTTGGACTTTTTGTATTAGACTGTCCAAAGTATAGAGAAAGATAAGCACTGCTGTAACCTTTTGTCAAAATCAGAACACACATTTCTTTTTCATCCACTGAAGAATTAATTGATATAGAAAATGGAACAGGGAATATGCAAACTGGAGCCTTGCAGCATCTGGTGTTATATTACGAGAACAGCCTCTGACCTGCTGCTCCCACTGGAAGCGCTGCGCCGTGTGCGGTTCTTCTCTCGGCCCCGGTCTTTGTCAGCTCCCTCTTTGGTGGCTCCTGACTTCTCCTTACCTCGCTGCTTACTCTTGTCATCCTCCTTCCTCTTTGTTGGGGATGGCGCCCTGTCAGGAGGAGAAGAAAGTTAACAAAAGTCAGGATTTCAGGCATTAGAGAACACTTAGCAAACATGAAATATGACAATTTGGCAACATGCAAAAATAGACACGTGGGTATCTACTGCATCTAATGTTTTAAAATAGCAGTGGTGGAATGTAACATAAAGTGCATTTACTCAAGTATGAATGTTTAGTACTCTTAGTACTTTTTTCCCCTTCCACTTTATACTTCTACTCCACAACAATTCGGGGTAAAATACTGTAGTTTTTACTCCATTAAAATGATTTGACTGCTTACATTCCCAATTAAGATTTTTGCATGCAAATCATATGCAGACCGTGTAAAATATTGTATACAATATGTATGTTTTGATACCAAACAGTGTATATAAATACAGCTGAAGTAATAACTCAATTGATACATAATTACTTGGCCATTATTGTGATTACTGAAGTCATGTTTCTTGCAAAATATTTCATGATTCCAGCTTCACAAATGTAAAAAGATTCTGCTTTTCCTTTTAATGATTTTATTCTTAACAATTTAGAGGTTTTTCTGCATTGAGTACTTTTACTTTTAATACTTAAAGTAAATTTTCCTGTTTATATTTATGCACCTTAAGTAAAATTTTCAATGAAGGACTTAGACTGGTAATGGAATATTGTTACAGTGTCGTATTAGCACTATTACTTGAGTTAAGGATCAAAATACTTCCTTCACCACCGCCACATAGTTACATCAAAACTCACCAGTTAGTTATCTTATACGTTACTAAGATATAAACACATAAGTATCTTGTAAGGCTGTTATAATGCTGAAAAAAATGCACTTTTGAAACACTGAGCAATAAATAAAAAAGGCAGATTGTTTACAGTGGGTAAACACCAGTATGGTTGCACTATTAATGCTTAATCATAACAACACAGGTTTAATTAAAACATGTCAGAGGACATTGCAGATGACATTGAAGGCATTTGGATGCAGATAAATAATTTCAGTGTCCATAAGAACTGAAAAAATGAAATCATGAAAATAATTTGCATCACACTCAGTGCTACTCGTCCTTACAGATAATTTAGAGCCAGAATTGACAGCTCAGAATTCTACTTGTCCCATAGATAAACTCATAAGGGACAGATGAAACAAAAATGAACCAATTCGCACTGAAAATATATTAATGGCATAACTAATTTCTAATACGTAGCTGCAAATGTTCCTTTTGCAGCTGTCTTTGGGTTCCTGTGAGTAGAAATGATATCGACTCGGAGCGGAATAAACACGATATAACGGTAATTAACGTTAGCTCAACACACACTTGCCCATATTAGCATTAGCTCGTGAGCTAATATTGGCTTATCAGGCTGCGCTGCTTTGACATACGCGCGTGTTTAAAAACGGAATTCTGCACTAAATACGATTCTGGCATTATTGCGTTACCATTTATTGACCATACATTTATATTTTTCAAGTAAGCAACGCAAGCTGGCGGCGTTTACTCACATCTTTCCTCCTCCTACACGCCTACTTGCGAGAGTAGTCGTCGCATAGAGATGACGCAATCTCTTAGGTCGACGTAACCAATCAAAAGAGAGGACGTTTACCGGCAGAGATAGCGGTAGTGATGGAAGTTTCACTCTCTGGATTCGGCGTTTAAGGGTTATTTTTCGGACGATGGCGAGGTATGTAAACCTTGTTATCTGTAGTTAAACCCTGAAACAGTGCTGTAATATTGCCGTTCATTTTTAAATTGACCTCCTGTTGTAATTTGCTCGGTTGTTGCGGCTGTTAAACAAATTGCCAAACAGGTCAACTGAGGACAACGAAATACCTATCTCAACCCGGCTTTAAGAGGATGTCTATCTCCATTTACATAGCAGCAAGGACAGTTAGCATGGTTACAGAATACCAAAGACACCCTCCAAGTTTAATTATTCATTAAGAAAGTTATTTATGAAGCTAGGCGCTAACTGTAGCTCTTGTGAGAAATTACTTGCTGTTGGATACAGAGGGAAGGACACACACTTCTCTGGGACAATGAGCCTTCAGATGAACTCCAAAGATGAGCCAGAAGAAACCAGCAAACCGTCAGGCGGTGCCAGGATCCTTGCTTTGACTGTTTTCTCTGCTGCCATCGGAGGCACCTTCCAGTATGGCTACAACATCTCAATCATCAACGCTCCCACCAGCTACATCCAGAGCTTCATCAATGATACCTACATGGAGCGCTGGGGCGTTGGCTTGGAGACCCCTCAGGTGACCCTAGTGTGGACTCTTATTGTGTCGGCCTTCTCACTAGGCGGTTGGCTGGGAGCCCTGTTGGCGGGACCTCTGGCAGTCCGCTGTGGGAGAAAGAACTCCCTGCTTCTGAACAACTCCTTCTTGTTTGTTGGTGCTGTGCTCGTGCTGACATGCAGAGTGGCGAAATCATTTGAGATGATCATCCTTGCTCGTTTTCTGGTGGGGATGAACTCAGGTGTCAGTATGAACATTCAGCCTATGTACTTTGGGGAAAGCGCACCCAAACACCTCCGGGGTGCTGTGGCTTTTTCCTCTGCTGTTTTCACTGCATTTGGGATCTTCCTGGGTCAGGTTGTTGGAATAACTGGATTGTTGGGTGCAGAGCCTCTTTGGCCCTACTTACTAGCTAGTAACGCTTTGCCAGGCTTGATCCAGCTCCTTTTCCTACCCTGGTTCCCTGAAAGCCCCAGATACCTTCTCATCGACAGGGGAGACAGGGAAGCATGTGTGCGGGCGCTGAAAAGGCTTCGTGGTGGGGAGGCTCCAGCCTTGGAGATGGAGGAGATGCTTCAGGAGCAGCAGCAGCAGCATCAAAACTCTGCAGCCTCTGCCAAGACGCCCTGGTCTCTGTTTAAGGATCCTGACCTACGATCCCAGCTCAGAACAGTCATGGCTGCCAGTAGTGCCATGATGCTCTGCGGCAACGACTCCATCTACTTCTACGCTTCCTATATCTTTCTCGAAGCGGGGATTCCTCCAGAGAAAATCCAATATGTCACCATAGGCACAGGGGCATCTGAGCTAACTGCTTCCATACTGAGCAATCTGCTGATTGAACGTGTGGGCCGCAGGTACCTTCTTTTGGGAGGGTACAGTCTTATGTCATGCTGGTCTGTAGTCTTCACTGTAGCTCTCACCCTCCAGAGCCGCGGCGTGGCTGGGATGGCTTACCTCAGCATGGCATGCGTGTTTGCCTACATTCTCAGTTTTGGCTTAGGTCCAGCGGGGGTGACCGGAATCTTACCAGCTGAGATCTTCGACCAGGGGGCTCGGCCGGCAGCATACATGGTAGCTGGCTCGTGTATGTGGATCAGCCTGTTCTCGGTGGGAATGCTGTTCCCCTTCATCGTCAAAGGCCTGGGGAACTTCTGCTTCCTGCCATTCATGGCTGTGTGTTTGGTGTCTGCTTTGTTTTTGGGGTTCACTCTACCAGAGACTAAGGGGAAGACAGTGGCTGAGATCACTGCAGAGTTTGATAGAAAGAATGGCGTGAAGAGGGAGAAGCCAGACCTGCAGGTGCACGAGCCAATTAGGGAGTACTACCAGCTGGGTAAAGCCTGCTCCTTCACTACCCTAATGCAAGATTCTGACCCTGACCATAAGAGCGCAACTGAAATTTGACATCCTTCTTTAAAAGTGTAAATAAAACAGGCAGTGCCTTTGCAGCCTCTTTATGCACCTTCAGTGACGGATAATCAGGTGAAATATGAAGTGTCCTATTTATGAAAGATGATGTCTGTGTAATGTTTTCGCCGGCGTTGCTCTGTTTGTCTGTCTGTTTGTTTGTCTGCAAAATAACTCAAAAAGTCATGAACGGATTTTGATGAAATTTTCAGGAAAGGTGGATAATGAGACAAGGAACAGATGATAAAATTTTGGTGGTGATCGGTTGAAGCAAAGTGGATAAAATAATAAATAAAATCTATCATCTGACAGCCTCAGCAGCAATTCCAATTTCTAATGAGACGGTGGAAAGCACGTCTTGTTCTACTTGCTAAATATTGTAATTCTAAAGTTGAAATTAATGTTCTGTGTTGGAAAAAAATAAAGTGAAGAATACAAAAATACATATTATATTCTGTACTAATGCACTCTCTGAGTGCTTTTCTAGTTATTTATTTTAATGCTGGTTTCTTGAGGAAACCCACTGGAGAGTATTAAATGCTCGGCTCAAGTGTTGTACTTAAAGGAATACTCTACCCACCAAATGATCATATGTACTGTAATTACTCACCTTATGTTATGTTGAATTTAGGAAGAAAACCTGGAGAACAAAGAATCCAAAAACTGAAAAAAAAGATTCATGATGGATTGTGTTTAAAGTTGTAATTAATTAGTTACTTTTTGGTCATATTTGCTGAAACTGTCATTGTATCCACAAAGTAGTACATGAGACAGATAACCTGTGGAAAAAATCATGTTCCTCCTCCTCCTCCTCATAGTGCTTCTATTGGCATTTGCTGGAGTCTACTGCATGTGAATGAAAACAATCAGATCTGAGGAGTCTCTAACGCAGTTGTCAGTCATATTCACTGCGCTGATCAAATATGAATCAAGATTCTGTTACTGCATGGCCTATTCTTTGCCTCAAATGTTTTCAGAAACATATTTTAGTGTACTGTTTAGCTGTAAAATTAGAGTTTGTGACCCGGTCGCCATGTTGCAAACAGTTGAGCTGAAACGACGCACCACCCACCGGCTTGGTCACAAACATTCTTAATTTACAGCTAAGCAGTACACTAAAATATAGGCTATGTCTTAAAACATTTTATGTTTGAAATAGGCAGTAACAGAATCTTGATTCACATTTGATCAGTGCTGCTGAGTTTGACAGTTTGACCACAGTTTACAAGCAGTGAGTGACATGATTGACAGCTGGATTTGAGACTCCTTGGCTCTGACTGGTCATTTCCTTCAGCCGCAATTCTAGCAAATACCATTTGAAGCACTACGAGGAGGAAGAGGAGCAGGAGGAACAAGATTTTATCATAGACTATCTGTCTCATGTCCTACTGTGTAGATATCAAAATATCTACCTACAAACTCTCACACAACTCGTGCAGTATTATCGAAGTCCCATTTATCTAATGGTACACTCAGTACTTCCCAAACGCATGCATTTTGGCTAAACAGTTACTATTTAAAACACTTACACACACAACGGAGGTGCACTTCTTGAAGAAGAATGGTAAAGTTTGAGAGAAAATGCATGTTTGGGACAACCCTGTCTCCTAGAAATTACATTTGTATGTTACCAGACTGCTTTCTTAATTTTGTTGTTGTGGCAATGTAATTGCCGCCTGGATTATGTTCGGAGAAAACATTTCTTTATGGTACTGTAACACAACAGTACATTTACGAACTGCGTAGGCTTCTTAAGGAGGTAGCTGGGGAGCATGGCAAAATGCAAAACCAAAAAATCCAGGACCTTGAAACCAGAACCTCGGGCTCATGTCCAGACTCCTGTGCCTCGTTAAATTCATGAGGTGAGGGTACTACTACGTCCTATGTATTCTAATGGCTTTTGGCTTTTTGTCTGATAGTTGTGTATACCATTACCAGCCAGGAAAAGAGGCGGGTATATCCCGTGTAACTGCGTATACCCTCCATTACACCATTGGGTTTGAGCAACAGAAGCATTGTGGTTAAGGTTAGAAAATGATCATGATTTGGGTTACATTTTAATGAGAAACATAATAAACACTTATGTCATAGGTTTAGGCATCAAATGTATTTTGGTTAAGGTTAGGGACATTATGTTTTCAGTTAAATGGTGAGTAAATTATATACAGATGATCATTTAAGGGGTTAAAGTTTTCCTTTAACTTATAACCCAAGCAAGAGAGTAAAAAGCTATGGAGTGTTTAAAATAACACATGTATAGACTTCTCTATTAATTACCTACAGTATGGTCACACAGAGAAAGCATGACGTGATGATATTTTCTCTACAAGAAGGATCTTTAGGAGCATAACACTGTAACTGTAAGCTGAGTAATTGCCTTACCAAGACCAGCATACTGTAAAGATGTGAAAGTACAGTACTGGAAAGACAAATGGACTTTATTTTAACTTTACCATCTCCCTTTCATTCAGTACACCCTGCTTATATCAGTTATAAAAGCACCTCAGTCAGTTGTTCTTGCTTATCATTGTCTATTTATCGTCTCATAAACATGACTATGCCAAAGTATGGAATTACGGTACCTTTGTTAATTTAAGATGAGACGTATGTGAAGCACTGTGTGATTCCAGTATCCAGGAAGGCAAAGGCGATTGTATACCTCAAATATAGCTACATAACTCATATTCATTCAAACTCTCTGAAGGTCTTGATAACGGTAGAGGTGTTTGCAGCAGACTGGGTAATCTTTTGAATTGCATGCACTAAAGGATTACCCACTAAATCAACACTTCTGCACTGGGTAGATAACACTGCTTGTTTATTGTGTATTCTGATTGTGTACATATCTATCCAGTCCAGTGATCCATGCTTGTTACATTTTACTGTTCAATGACCCCAGTGGGCATGGGGAATGTTACCTCTCTAAACTCTGGAAAGTGTTGTGTTCTGCTCGGTTGCATGTATACTAATTGGACTCCCACTCCAAGGTGTCGTTCCTACTGGCACCACTAACGGCATGATTCCATTTCACCACCCCTTGAGATGTTTCCTTTGTGTACTCATGCAGTGACTTTATAAATGCAGCTCCACCAAACAGCCAGTAGATGACGTCATTGTCATTGTTCCTTGCCTGTTGTCCTCTCCTTGCCAAATATGAAGCTGTATATTGTTAAAACGACTCTCAGATGAGACACCTAGCCAAAGATGACACTGAAATTCATCAGCTGTCAGCTCACAGCCATTGCAACTGTTTTGTTGACCATCTGTCATATCTCCTGTATGTTCCCTTTTAAAATTATTTCTTCAAAATGCAGCAGATGTCATTTTTTAGTCAAGGTGTTATTTTTTTTATTAGAAATCCAAATCACCCTCTCTTATTCTCTGAAAATGTCACTTTTCATGCTGGATTTCAGGAAGAACCTCACTGTTAGAGCATGTTGGTGCTGTACACTTTATAACTGAAATATTGCTATTGAACGACTGTCTATCCAAAGCATGTTACGATAATCAGTAATTATAAGGATTCTGTAAAAGTCTTACTGTACGATTCTCTGACTTTATTTTGTAGGGATATATATTTTGCACATACCAGTTATGTATTTAATGGTATTTATTGAAAGAGAAATACTACTGTATGTACAAAAATAAAAAAAATCTAAGACTACGCCATTCTCTTCATTGTGATTTAGTTAGTTTGATTGATTCCGCCTGTCTGATCCAACTGCTTTCTTAATTACATTTAATCACATTACTTTGGCTCCCTCAGCTCCTCTGTGCCTTCATCGACTGCACCATCCCACTCCCATTAAAACTGCGAGTGTAATGCTGTTTATTTATGGAAATAAGTGCTGTTTGAGAACGGCTCACTCTAAAGTGGGGCTAAGGTTCAAGTGTGCTGTTCCATTGGGCTCTGTTACATCATTCCAGTGTCTCCTGGCTGTTTGAAATGAACCTAGATAACAGAAAAATGGGATTTATATTCAAGTGTGTGCCCTGACGAGGAAAGGTTTTGTGTGTGTGTGTGATTCAGAGCTGCTGTAAAAACACTAGAAATTCAAGGTAGAAGTGTTTCTGTTACAATCACAACAGGAAGCAGAATATTTTTGCTCTTGCTGGCCTTCGGTTGAAGTTGTAGAAAGATTTAAAGATAAAGTTAATTCTCTGCTAGCAAAACTAGTCCACGTATGTTACACCTCAAATAAACAGAAACTCCAGTCCATTAGAGACAGACTAGACATAGAGTATATACTGTAATTTTAAAGCACAAATTATGAAATATGGTAATTCGCTTTCCCACAGCTGTCTGGCCATTATTAAGGTAAAACCAGGGAGATGTATAGCTGCCGCTGCATAGAGTGCTCCAGGGATGAGTCCTAAACCTGGAAATGGGGTAGCATTTTAGCACTCCTGGTTACCAGTGACCTCGTCATGTATCAATGTTTGGTCATGGACTTCCTCGTTCAGATGCGACATGAAAGGTACCCTGGGTGCATTGGTTTTTGACGTTCTGGTAAGCCATGTCAACTTCAGCCTGTTAAAGGCATCGTCTTCTTTCAAAATGCACTTCCATTTTCACAGGAAATTTACTGTTTACATACAGTCTCTTTCAAAATAAATGCACTCAGTACAACAACGTGAATTGACTTTTTTTCCTCCAACAACTTAAACACGTGGTTGGGTTTAGGAAAAAAGAACAGGGTTTGGCTTAAGAATCTTACAGGATGCAAACACCACTCTCCTGGGTAAAGCTGGTGTTTGTTGGATGTGTTTCATGTTTCACCCTGACACCACCGCCCCAAGTGCTGGATTTGACGACTTTGGAGTGAGACCGGCTTGTTTTTTTTAAATTAGCTTTTAGATGCTTGAAATTAGATGACAAGCTTCAGAGACGTTTACTTTTTGTTCTACAACGTAGAGTAGGTCAGTAAATACCCCATTTGTGAATTGTAAAGCTTTTACATGTCGCAGGCGGTTGCTAACAAGTGGTTAAATGTGACTACAGAACGTCATCATGCCGAACACGGCTTTAGAGTTCAGATGGGGTGGTAAGGTTAAGTCATTAACATGTCAACCTAGCAACACGTACATGAGGCCAAATGTAACAACAATCCACTTTATTCATTTTCTTTATTCATTATGCATGAAGATGTGATCCAAGTTAGAAGTCTCTATGTAACCCT